CGTAATCATATCGACACATGTTTTTATTCACTTGTCATAAAAAACACAATTACTGTATCCGCCGAATCAGGGAGCGGCGATTGATTTCTAATTAATGCGTCCACCAATCGGCGCCGGCCAGTGACACCCAGAGTCTCTGCCCTCCTCTGGCCTGGAGAGAAACCCCGGCCCGGGTACTATTTTTAGCCACACCACCCACCGAATTCATGTTGGCTGCGCGCGTTATGAGTCTGCCGAACAGGCGAGCTACAGTGACTTCAGGATTGATTCCTGAGGCCGCTGGCGAAGGTAGAATAAAAAAAAAACAATGATACCCGTAAATTGGTATCATACGAGTATGAGGCTTCAAAAACGTCATACCTAAACGCTATTAGGAGCAGCGCTCGAAAATCCTGCAATTTTTTCTTAAAGGCCGTGATGCTTAGGCATTGTGCCACTCACGACAGTGGACGAGCGAGCCCTCTTATTTCATGTAAAACTTTTACGCGAAAAGTTTTACGCGAAAAAACTCATCGAAAATATTGGCAATATTTTCGATCAGTTTTTTTTCTCGGTACCCATACTTCAAGACGAAGATACCCTGCCTCAGCGGAACTCGATCCACACATGGAGTGCTGCCGTCTACGGAGTGTCACTTTAGCTGGTGGTGCCACCTGGGTACGGTGCAGGTTGTCGGACCTTCCTCAGGTCTTGTGCCACTAACAGTTCAGCGTCTTTTCACTATTCATTAAAAGTCAAAACGTTTACAAAAGCACGTATTGATCGGTCATGCTTGCCTTGTTATATTCGGACGTTTATTGAATGAATTATGCGTGGTTCACACCGGATCCGTAATGACGCCGTAACCGTTACGGACGTAATGAGCTAGAGATTTCTCAAGATTCCCCAAGCATTGCGACTTTTGTAGACGAAGTTGAAATGTGGCAACCAGTCGCCGTAAACTGGCAGCGTCCACCGTACTCGTTACGGAACGTAACAGAAGTTGGGAATATATATTCCCGACCGGGGCTGGGAAAATGCGTTTTATTCACCGAGGTTTTTGTGCGGAGGACCGAGTGCCGGTAGGCACGAGGTCCGTAGCCAAAAACCGAGGTGAATAAAACTGCATTTTCACAGCTCAAGGTTGGGAAGAGATTTACCACATGCCGTACCGGCGCAATAGTTAATATCATATTCATTTGATATTTTACACTTTAATCTTAATATTGTGTTAATATTATACCTATCAATACTATGTTCATATTTATAGTCACCGTGATTATTATTTTTTGTTTTTCATTATTAGGCTGCGTTGAGTATGAAAGATGAAATTCCTACTTCCCCCTTATTTAGGGTTTGAAAAGGCTGAGGATGAAGATGGTGAAGCGCCAGAAGTTAGAATAAAGATATGGAGTCCAGCAGGAGTGAGGAAACCGTGATGAAAACTAAAAATTGGGTGAAACGCTGAACCAAACGCGTCTTGGATCCCAGCTGGAACAATATCAAATGTTTCATTGTGGCACGTTAAGATGCTTCACGCATTTAAATTGTTCGTTTTTTTTTTTTGCGTGCATTATGTAGAAATAATTATTATTCCGAACATGTTCTGCAGCAATAAATGCATTGGCATTGGAACGATAACCTTGTTTAGTTGAATTACGTTGACAGCAAAAGTATGTAAACACGCAGTCACTCACTTTTGCTGTTGCTGTTAGTGAACACACAATTCGTAAATATCTTCTTTGAAATTGGTTCTTCCGCTCAGAATATTCAGTAAAACTTTGTCTGGGAAAATCAAAAAGCCCTAGGGCCGAATCGTTTCCCAAATACCTTCAACATTAGCCGAGGCGGGCCGAAGCCATTTCCCAAATGCACGTGCTAATGTTAAAGGGATATCTCGGCATGTGGTAAAATTGAACTTTTCGGCTCGACCGGCCGCCGTAATGACTTTTATCGACATGTATCTCCAAAACGGTTTGACTGTTTGATGAGCGGTCTTCTTTGGGGAGGGGCTGCATCCTTTCTACCCTGAACTGTGCTATTGATATCACTCATGAGTGCCTGTTACAGCACGTGTCACGTGCGACGAGAGAGGTTCCAAAAGAGCTCGTCATACCATAACTCGGGAACGGCTGAATGGAAACGGTTCAATATTTGTTTGTTGTTTTGGCTGGGTGCACACTACACATCCCGTGACCTTAGGACGATTTCGAATTACCTCAGCGCGTGCGCACGTGCGCACCCCTTTTTCACATCTCGGGATTGGCTGTGCCAATCGCGCCCATATTTGGTATGCTGAATGATATCATGTTTATATGCAAATTGCACAGGTTGACAAAAGCATTGATCTGCACGTGCGCACGTGCGTGCCCCTTTTTCATATCTGGGGATCGGCTGGGCCGATCGCGTTCATATTTGGTGTGCTGAATGACACCATGTACGGCTCTCCAGTAAAAGTCTTGTTGGTTTTGCTTTTTCGGACATATCTGGTCCTATATAATGTTCAAATGCATAAGTATCAACCCGAATTATGTGTATGCACATTTACCACGAGACTGTGAAATTGCATCGTTGTATGCCAAATACTTTCCGAGATATTCACCAAAAACCTCATTTTCTGCCGTTTGGGGTATTCTGGCCGCAATCTTCCTGGGGTCGCCTATGACATCAGTAGAGCCATCTAACGAGAGGAACGCGGAAACACAGAATCATGAATGAATCGAGTGCGTAGTAAACGGTGTATGAAAGGGAGACTCGGCAGAGGCTATCCGGGTGGCCGGCGCGCGGTGCGCCCTCAGGCATCGGCCGACCCTTCGGACCGCGTGGGGTCAGAGGTCGCGCTCGGGAAGTCTCGGCTCTGGGTTTTAGCGCTGTGCAGTCAGGAAGGGAGCATAGGATAGCGCTAGCCCGACTGACTAGCATCTCGGCTGATTCGTGTGGGGTGAAGGGAGCACAGAACGGGATGGTGGCTAGTGGTGGATGATGGGATGGTGGTTAGGTTAGTGCGTACTGCGTAGAACGTAGCTGAACATGCATTTTTTTTAATCGCAAACAACATGCAGCATATAATGTGCGGGATTATGCCAGAACTCATACAAAAAGGAAATAACATTTCGGCCGAGGGCGTGGATGAGTCCCGTGACAAAGCATGACAATGCTGCCAAAATCGGGATGCTTTTTTGCCCCATTTTTTTTTTACCCCTAACATGCAGCGCTTGATCCGAACTTAGAGGTCCCCGACTGACCTTAGACCTTAAAATCGCACCCAGCCGGTGCGCCACCTTTTCTTCAGGGGCGCTCTTCTTGGTTGTATCTGTTCTTACCAATAACTAAAGCAAATCGAATGTATAATAAAAAAGGCATACCTCAAACACAGTTTTATTCACATCTCCTCGTGTGCATACTTGTTTTGAACTATACCTTCTCGCACCATAATATATCACTTCAGTGCTTAATCCTCAACGGAATTTTGGGTTTTCTGCATATACCCCGCCCGAGGGGGGGGGGGGCGATTACGACCCTCTCCGTCTTTTTGCCCCTAATTGAGCTAGCGCCTTGCGGATGAAACTGAGTGGGTGCGTCGTATGAGATGCAGCAACTGGACCCGAGTTGAATGTCTCAGGTCAACCGATTAACTCTGAGGTCAGTATAAGTGCTGGCCAAGTCGCGGGATCGGTTTTTGGTAAACAACTTTACCATAAGTGGTTACAGAGCCAAGACAATGGCACCATCGAGTTTTGCATGCTCAAGCGCGTCGAATAGTATACGCTTTGTGTGACCTCTGAAGCCCTGCATGCTCGGTTGACTCTACAAAAAGGAAATAACATTTCGGCCGAGGGCGTGGATGAGTCCCGTGACAAAGCATGACAATGCTGCCAAAATCGGGATGCTTTTTTGCCCCATTTTTTTTTTTACCCCTAACATGCAGCGCTTGATCCGAACTTAGAGGTCCCCGACTGACCTTAGACCTTAAAATCGCACCCAGCCGGTGCGCCACCTTTTCTTCAGGGGCGCTCTTCTTGGTTGTATCTGTTCTTACCAATAACTAAAGCAAATCGAATGTATAATAAAAAAGGCATACCTCAAACACAGTTTTATTCACATCTCCTCGTGTGCATACTTGTTTTGAACTATACCTTCTCGCACCATAATATATCACTTCAGTGCTTAATCCTCAACGGAATTTTGGGTTTTCTGCATATACCCCGCCCGAGGGGGGGGGGGGGCGATTACGACCCTCTCCGTCTTTTTGCCCCTAATTGAGCTAGCGCCTTGCGGATGAAACTGAGTGGGTGCGTCGTATGAGATGCAGCAACTGGACCCGAGTTGAATGTCTCAGGTCAACCGATTAACTCTGAGGTCAGTATAAGTGCTGGCCAAGTCGCGGGATCGGTTTTTGGTAAACAACTTTACCATAAGTGGTTACAGAGCCAAGACAATGGCACCATCGAGTTTTGCATGCTCAAGCGCGTCGAATAGTATACGCTTTGTGTGACCTCTGAAGCCCTGCATGCTCGGTTGACTCGCCAACACAGCTGTTGTTCCGCTCTCAGTCTGTATTTAGCGGTTTCCTGAGAAAACAAAAACACAATAAGCAGGGCACATAACTTCTAAACACATGTGTAGGCAATACAATCGCCGGCAGTACATATCTATAAACGGGGGAGGGGGCGACGAATCGTGAGGCCCAACAGAAAACTATTTACGAGTGCTCATTGGCATCACAAACAACTCGGTCAAACGAAAACAATACATCCATCAATGAACAATTGTAACAAATAATTGTAAACAATAGGTCAGCCGCTATCGCCGCCGATCATAGCTGCGGCAGATTTGACGCAGTCCCACACGCAGCAATCCAACTGCCATCTAGCGACTGAGACAGACAACATGTCTAGATGTCGCCACCGAACGCTCAACAACGAGTTTAATGGCATAAAAGGCACCTTAATATAACGAAGATATTACCCACAGGTTTACCCATTAAGTAACTATAAAGTACAAATTAACTTCGAACTCACCAACGAGTACCACTTCCTGGCTTGAGAGGTCCTGACCACCTTCGACGTAACGGGGCAGCCACCCGCGCAGAACGGCCTCCCAGACAACAGAGGCGGACCCGGCGATCCAGTCTTGGGCTCTTCCGACACTGCAACCTGCTCCGGCGCCTCGGAGGCGCTGCAATTCAGCACGACCAACAACAAAGAAGTGCGCCCACTGCAGACCCAGACTCCAGCGCTGCAGCGGGAGCCCGCACCGCCGAGACGCGCCGGCAGCTCTGACCCAACTCCGGCCCAGCTCCGCCCCGGGCCAGACTGTCAGGAGCGAGCTCAGGGGCGAACTTGAAAGCGGCCAGCTGCACCCTCTCGTCCACAGCACCACTCCCTCACGGACCAGACAGGCGAGACCGCCTCTGCCGGGGCCACGAGCCGGCGCCACCCAGCCAATGCGGTCGGTCTCCCAGCAGACGCCAGGGGCGTGTATATAATTCCAGCGAGCGGAGGGGGCAGCTATCGGGACTAAACTAAATTAACATAACCACCACCCGCTGCGGTCACACCCTCCCCTTTGAACCTTTCCAGGTTCAAGAAACGATAGCTGCAGCGATGAACCGATTGTAGCAGCACTTAACTTATAACTAACTTAACTAGCTTAACATACTTGTTCTCAGTTGCATTTACTCAGATGCTTCAACAAGGAGAATGAGCTTTGATATGGGACGTTTAATCAGCTTGCCTCTCGACATGATCTCTGCGCTCCGGGTGAGTCCATACCCACTGAGCTTGGGTTGAATGACTCTTCACAGGGGCTGGCTCATGAACCTGGTGAAGCATGGCATTTATATCGCCCATGAAGGCCACCTCTTCCTGACGAAAGCGAACGAGTACGTCAATAAGCGGTGTGCAAAGCGACGGACCCTGATAAACTTGTCATTCAGCGAGACGCCTCTGAACGAGCTTGAGCAGTCGAAAACCACACGAAGTTTTTCCTTCTTTCCAAACACCCCGTGATGAGGTAGGTAATTCACCAGTCCGTCAGCTCTGTCCAGTTCTTCTTCAGGCACCCTTTCTGCATAGTCCTTCCTTGCCATGTCCTCAATCACTTCACGATACTGGTCAGCGAAGCCTTCGTTTTGAAGCCCTTTTTTGAGTCCCTGTAGCCTCCTCAAGCATGCTTCCCGGTTGTCCGGCAAGACTGTGTCCCCACTCTTCAGAGGTATAGGTAGCTCGTAGTGTCCACTGTCCATCCTAGCTTCCTTCTCAACCTTCTTCATCCATCTGTGGTCCTCCACTGACCATCCCCGCTCTTCCGATGCGGGGTTCGCTTCTGACTGGGGTCCTTGAACCTCAACTTTGATTCGGTTCGCTGTAGCCCTGATTTCCGTCCATTTGTGATGACGTACCGGACCGTTCACCACCCAACCAAGTCGCGTCCTGACGGCATACGGACCGTTGTCTCTGCTGTGAATGAAGTCGATCGGTTCGAGTGCTTCTGGTACATTCACTCCCACCAATATTCCAATGTCTGCGTCGATCATGTCCGGGGCGACTGCTTGAAGATGCGGCCACCTTTGGAGGTCTTCAGCTGAGCAGATCTCCTCTCGGGACGCCGGGATCTTATCCATAGCGAACACTGTCGGGAGCATGATCTGCTCGTTTTCACTCAGGTCGGATATCCTGAGACCCTGCACGGCTGAAGCCCATACAACTAGCGGGTCCTTAGACATGGTGGAGACAGACAACTTAGTCTTGTTCGTGGCATTAACATTCAGCTTGCGGAGGAGGTCATACGTACAGAATGTCGAGCTACTACCCGTGTCCATAAACATGTATGTCTCCACTTGAGGACCATCACGGTATTGAATCTTCACGGGGATCATTGGCATCTTCATAGAACGATCACTGGATGAGATCGCATTAACTGACACGGCCGGTTGAGTTGGTTCCGTCTTCATCTGAGTCTCCTGACGACCGTGCTGCTGATTCTCCGCTCCTACGGCTCTGAACACATGCAGCACCGATGGGTGCCTCCCACTGCACACAGAACAGTTCAGGCGACGCGGACAGAAACGGGAGAAATGGCCAGACTTGAGGCACCCAAAACAGAGACGATTTCCACGCACGAATTCCTGTCTAGCGGCAAGAGGGTGGTTAGAGAAGGTCTGGCATCTATCTAGAGCGTGCTCCTCACTGCAGAAAGGGCAAACCTCCTTCTCCTCTGGGGACGTCCTGCTGCATTTGACACGCTGTACGTCACTTCGTCTTGCTGTCTTCTTGAGTACGTGTCTTCCGAATTCTGAATGTGATGCAACTCTTGCCTCGGTTTCCAGGAACTCGACGAAGTCCGAGAATGCGATCTTCTTCCCTCGCTCGCTGACCTCATCCGCCTCTCTTCTCCATCTGTCCTGAAGGTGGAACGGCAGCTTCTCCACCAGCATACGAAGGGTTTTGTGATGGTCCAATTCACTTCGATCCCTCAGTGCTCTGACTGCATTGAAACAGCTTCGAGCATACAGAGCCATTTCGTCAAGTCCTTCCACATCATCAGCGCTGAGAGTCGGCCAGTCCAGCAGCTTCTCAGTGTATGCTGTAGCCACCTTTGAAGGGTCGCCGTACCGCTTCTTTAGCAGCCTTCTGGCCTCTACATATCCTTCTTCGGCTTCCATGTGGAAACAGGCTTGGACTATCTGTCTTGGCCGACCAGAAGTAAATTGCTCCAGGAAGTGAAGTTTCTCCTCGCTGTCCAACAACCTGTTGCCTATTTTCGAATCGAAGGCTCTGATGAAGGAATGGTATTTTGTGATGTCACCGCTAAACTTGGGAATTTCCGATCTTGGAAGCAGATTCCTTCTGCTACTCTCCAACATTGCCTCCGCCATGTTCAACTGACTGCTGTTATCTGCGAGTCTTTCTGTAGCAACAGGAGGAGCATTCAGCTGGGCTTGAATGCTACTCTGTTGATGTTCCTGGGATGCTTCAAAGTCCTTCAACACGTCTTCTCTGGCCTGGGATTCGGCCAGCTCCATCATCAATTCCATCTCTTCCTTCTTGCGTTGCACCCTTAAGGCTTCTTCTTCCAACTGATGCTTTTGTTGCAGCATCTTCATTTTAGCTTGTAGGCCGGCCCGTCTGGCAGATTCCAGTGCCCTTGCTGAGGCTGTAGACACCTGTGATTGACCACTTTTTACAGATCCACACCTCTGCCCAGACAGAGGTATGCCGTGCTTGATGCTTGATGCACAGGCACCCATTGGTAGGTCCTCTTCTTCATCTGGACGAACTTCTTCCTCGATTTCTTGCTGCAGCTCCTGCTTGTCTTGAAGACTGCCTTTCTCTTCATGTTGCCCCTCCAGTTTGTCCCTTTCTTCACCTTGCATGGCTCGCTCGAGTCTTTCGATGAGAACTGATCTGGTACCAGCCGAGTCTATTCCTCTTTTCCTCAACTCGTCCTTCAGCTCCACAACCAGCATCTTCTTCATGATGGCTGATGTTAAGCCGGCTTCAAGATTGAACCAAACTATCCCTACAGGCTACAACAATAAAAACAAAGAGGACTAAAAGAGCATTCTGAATCTTGCAGATCTTCTGGATAGTGCGCCAAGATATCAATACAAACAAGCATCAGGTCCAGATCCAAGTAGCTGCAAACATGGAATAAGCCAGAGGCCCAGGTACCACTTAAGTACTGGTCTATAATAATGCGGTCAACTGTCTTCTGGACTGATCCTATCCGAGGTTCTTCAGGAGTAAGGGACTGGTGATCTTCAGGACTTACTTGGGTAATATCCAAGCTCAATCAGCCAACCTAAGGTAATGTTCAAAATAACTGCCCATCAAGTAGCCAAGAGCACTATCAAAGCATGTGTTGGTACATCAACCAATAAAGACGCAGTGGGTTACACACAAGCATGGCGTAATACACAACTGCCCCACTAAACATCACACATCAATGCAATTCAAATCACTGCTCAGTGCTCTGGACGGCAGAATTCAACTTCAAACACGGATCTCATTCGAGCAGCTAACTGAGTCTTTAGTCAATCTTAGAGTCAAGTCTTTCACTGACACTCTCACCACATGTCCAGGTGCTGCAGACCTCCCAGCATATGATGTAGCCAATGGTGATGGAGGTACTTGCAGTCCAGTCGACCTTTGGTACTGTAGGGGCTGCTCCTCAAACTGACGAACAGGTTCGTTGGAAACTATGACCTCTGAAGCCCTGCATGCTCGGTTGACTCGCCAACACAGCTGTTGTTCCGCTCTCAGTCTGTATTTAGCGGTTTCCTGAGAAAACAAAAACACAATAAGCAGGGCACATAACTTCTAAACACATGTGTAGGCAATACAATCGCCGGCAGTACATATCTATAAACGGGGGAGGGGGCGACGAATCGTGAGGCCCAACAGAAAACTATTTACGAGTGCTCATTGGCATCACAAACAACTCGGTCAAACGAAAACAATACATCCATCAATGAACAATTGTAACAAATAATTGTAAACAATAGGTCAGCCGCTATCGCCGCCGATCATAGCTGCGGCAGATTTGACGCAGTCCCACACGCAGCAATCCAACTGCCATCTAGCGACTGAGACAGACAACATGTCTAGATGTCGCCACCGAACGCTCAACAACGAGTTTAATGGCATAAAAGGCACCTTAATATAACGAAGATATTACCCACAGGTTTACCCATTAAGTAACTATAAAGTACAAATTAACTTCGAACTCACCAACGAGTACCACTTCCTGGCTTGAGAGGTCCTGACCACCTTCGACGTAACGGGGCAGCCACCCGCGCAGAACGGCCTCCCAGACAACAGAGGCGGACCCGGCGATCCAGTCTTGGGCTCTTCCGACACTGCAACCTGCTCCGGCGCCTCGGAGGCGCTGCAATTCAGCACGACCAACAACAAAGAAGTGCGCCCACCGCAGACCCAGACTCCAGCGCTGCAGCGGGAGCCCGCACCGCCGAGACGCGCCGGCAGCTCTGACCCAACTCCGGCCCAGCTCCGCCCCGGGCCAGACTGTCAGGAGCGAGCTCAGGGGCGAACTTGAAAGCGGCCAGCTGCACCCTCTCGTCCACAGCACCACCCCCTCACGGACCAGACAGGCGAGACCGCCTCTGCCGGGGCCACGAGCCGGCGCCACCCAGCCAATGCGGTCGGTCTCCCAGCAGACGCCAGGGGCGTGTATATAATTCCAGCGAGCGGAGGGGGCAGCTATCGGGACTAAACTAAATTAACATAACCACCACCCGCTGCGGTCACACTTTGTTTTTGTTGAGGTCAATTTAAGGTGTTCACCTCAGGTCATGTCAGGGCAGAGCCACTCAGGCCACGAGGCTGGTTCAAGGAGGTCATATCGCTTCTTCGATTCGGTAGGTCCTCACAAGTCCACTGGTGGCTTCACGACTCGCTGGCTCAATTTGATCGAGACTTGTTGGTGAAAACTCCTGTGACCTTAGTGACGTCATAAATGAAGTCGCCTAACTTTAAGAATGGAAAAGTGAATGCTGGGGCTTGCTAAGATTGTATAAAATCGCGAATTAATGCGCTTGCGACAGCTTTAGATGGCTCCCGGCGCCAAAATAACAGCTTTCATATTTCCCAATTGACTAATAATCATTAATCGTGAGGTTGCGTGACCGACCTGACTTCAGGTGACTTTAAGAAATATACTAGATAGCTACATACAAGTTGTGAGGCCTCTGGGAGATAGTAATAGATCATATAAGCTTCATTCCCCGTTGAAAAGTCCCCTGGCACGAAGGGTGCTGCGAGGTCGCGACATTTTGGGACCTTACAGAGGTTCACTTTTGACGTCATTGGTCAACGGCCTGACCTTAACCTTCGCACTTGTAGGAGGGTGTCGAACAGACCTCCTACCCTCAGTTTTTCGCAAATAACTCGCGCAAAAAGCGGCTGATTGCGACGAAACTTTCAGTACCCTCGAGTTAATCAATATTACGCCTACCCTATAATTTGTATGACCCTGGCTCAAAAGACCTTTGACTTGTGACCTGTTTTCCGAGACCATGTTTGGCCGGAATCGCGTTTTGGCGTATTTCGAGTAGAGCGCGTTTTATTGTCTTTTTATGGCTTTAAGCGATCAAACATGTGCAAGGATGTTGATCCCATGGATTCTAGTGGGTATCAAGGTCACGTGAAGGTCAGTCAGGTCACTGACCTTTGATGACCTTTGCTCACTCTTTCGAGTTCTACATGTTTCTGGGGTAGATTTTGGAGTTGAGTTCGCATTTAGAAACCGTTTGAACATTTAGGAAGTAGTTTTGGTTCCCTCGTAACATGTGACCTGACCTGACCTGACCCGACCAGGCCTAAATGCACGAAAACATCATCTGTGATCAAAACTAACTTGAAATTCGTGATCAGCACCCCGCAAAACCCTGTAACAGCTCCACTTTACGAAGCTCTAACAGGTCCCGATTCCCCGACTTTTGAGTTGTTGAACTGTCAACTTTGACAACTTTGTCAACTTAGACTTTTGACCTGTCAACCAATGAC